ACCAGGGTCCAGGCTCTCCTGCTAGGGCTCAGCCCCCTAGGGGGACACGAACAACTGTGCGGTTGCTGGCGCACTGGTTTCCCCAGCCTCAGCTCACTGGACAAGCCAGACTGTCCCGAAACTGACGGTGTTCCTGCGCTACAGGAGAAAGGGGCCGATGGTCTGGGCCCCCCTTGCGGCCCTCCAGTCGGGCGATCAAAGGCCACTTCTGCAATAACCCCGGTCTCGCGGCCACGAGGGGGCGCGACGCGGGGAGAGTCGCACTCCGAGACCCTCACTCTTCCGAGTCTATCCCAGGTGGGGCTAAGGCAGGCCATTACGGGCCCATTTTCTGAGCCACCGTGGTCAGGCCGTGGGACCTGGGGCCTCGGGCATGGAGTTGCGGCCGCATTGCGCGGTAGCTCAGCCATCAATCTCCCTGGCGTGGACGATCATTACCGCTTCGTCCTTTCTCAAGCAGAACCTGTCCCCTCTGTTTTGCGTCTTTCGGAAGGAAGCCCGACTCCTAGCGGAGCTAGAATTCGAGTGTGGATGGCGAACACTGCAGCACAGAGCTGGAGCTACTGGAGGGAGCAGGGACACATTTCCAAGTCGTCTCTCCTCTGTGACCAGAAAGCCTCCTCAGACTTCCTCTCCTGGCTCGCGGATGGAGGTCACGCCAAGAGTTTGGCAGTGGGGTGCAGCCCCAGCACTTCTCTGTGTGCACTGGACTCAGAAGCTCCGCGGGCATCTCGCTCGCGCCCGGTCCTAGCCACTAGGCGCCGCTGCGCACACGCGGATCCGGGTCCCTGGCCCCCACTCCCACCTAGCAAGCGGCCTCTAGGGAGGAGGCCAGGGAGGGATTTCATATAATAAATTTTTAAATTAATTTATTAATTATTCTTTCCGTTTTCTCTTCGCCACCCTACCCGTTTGGAGAGGCTGAGCGACCGAATGACAGAGGGCAGAAGGAGTTCTTAGCTGGTTTGGAAGCATCCCCATCCACGAACACCTTTTGCATGCCGAGGGCCAGGGAAAGGGCTCACCCCTCACAGGTGTCCGGGCCATCCGCAGTCTGGCCGGCGCACAGTGAGGGCTCCAGGTACTGGCTGGCGGAGAGGGTCTCAGCCTCCGAGAGGTTGAGACAGGTCTCAAAAACTGTTAAACGGTTGATATTTCCTTCTCACAGATGAGAGAATGGCGGCTCAAGAAGACTAAGGTCACAGAGGTAGTGAGTGACCCCAGGCAACACCTGGACACGCACTCACCTTAGGTATTGCACAGGCTAAGCAGGGAGGAGCACAGCTCTGTGCTCTTCCTAAGACAGGGGCCTGGCAGGGAAACTCAGAGCCGAAGATTTTGGGCGATCCCCAGAAATCTCTGCCCCTGATGCCTCCCACTAACCAGCAATCCAGGCCCTTTTCACCCCAGCGCCTCCCTAGGGAAGTCCTGGGCTTTCACGGAGCTGGGAGAAGCTCCTGCCAAGAGCCTGAGACCCACAATGCGGCGTGTTTCTACAGCTTGATTGTTTGGTCCCGAAGCCCAGCAACAAGCCCTGGAGGTAGGGGGGCAACAGGAATACCAGCAATGTCAAGGGCAGGAGCTAACTTTATCGCAGCCCCTTAGGGCTAGATAGACACTGCCTGATAGATACTCTTCTTCATTCCCATTTCACAGAAGAGCTAACAGAGGCACACATAGGTTAAGTAACTTGCCCCAGGTTACCCTGGCCTGACTTATTGTGCGGGGGGGGGGGGGCAGGATAATAAGGTATAACTTAGAGTGCAATTCACCTTTTGTAGTGTATGGATCTATGAGCTTGGAAAAACGTGTACAGACGTGTCCTTGCCATCAGGAAGTAGAGGGGTTCGATCACTTCCCCAGACAGGCCTAACCCCTGCCCTTCACTGCCTGGCTGGCTGCAGGGGCCGTATTTTCACAGATGACAAAATGGAGGTTGGGAGGGATTGCCTTGCTGCCCGAGATCAGTCAGCCAGTAAGTATCAGATCCGAGATTAGAACCTTCATTAAGTGTCTGCTAGTCTGGCTGCCTGCAGACTGTAGATCCCTGAATCTATACAGCCCAACCCTTGGCTTGGAGAGAGGGAGCCCCCTGCCCTAACATAACACGGAGGCTCAGAAACGTCCTATTCCCACTGCGCGAGCTGCCTGGACAAACACCCACCCTCGCAGAGTAGCTGAGGAACAAAGACGGGCAGGGATCTGTCAGGCCAAAGCCACGAGTAAAGTGAACACAGCCACCCAGTCCGAGGACTGGAGGCTGGAGGAGTCCAGACTGGTGAGCCCAGGACCTGGGCTCACTTCCCCCCCGCCAGCCTGGTTGGTTAATGAGTTACTCTCCTAGTTAATTCCTGCACATTTCCTCTACTCCCCCTCCTGCTGCCCCCTGCAACCACCACCCTAGAAGCCTGGCCTGCAAAAAACCTTCTCAAACTCCTCAAGTCTGGGCCCATGAATTAGCATAGATTACCCAGCTTCCAGAGCTTCCCCGGCCCCTGACTCCCTGGAAACCTGCTCTTCCCTCCATGAGGGTGTGGGGGGGGGGTTGGGGAGCAGACGAGGCTTGGGGCCAGTGGTTGGGAGGCAGAGGGTCTGGCATGGCAAGTCCTGGTCCCGCCGGGAGGGCAGGCAATGGAGGCCACAGCTTCCACACCCTTGCCCACCTGCCCCATAACTAGAGACCCTGGGGCAAAGCTGACCTTCTCAGGCAGGTTTGGCAGGCTATGAAGCAGGCGGTCACCAGGGCTGGTCAGCAGAGGATGTTAGGGAGGGGACCTGGCAGTGAGCTGCCTAGGCCCTCTGCCCCTGGAGGGGGAGCCGAGGGGTCTGGGCTCCAAACTGTCACTCACTCTTCTGGGACACTCCAGACACATCCTGGCCAAAGAGGGCGAAGGGTTTAAGGCGGGTGCTGATGGCACCTTAGAGCTCTGCCTGAAAGTTCTGAAAGAGGGGAACCCCCTTAGGTGTCACACACTGGAGACACTGACTGGACTCCCTTTGCCCTCAAGGTCAACTGCTCTTACACCCTCAGCCAAAATCACTTACTCTAACTGTGTGATACGTGCTCACTGCCAGCCCTGCAGCCAGGGTGCGGCATTCAGTGCGCCCGATTTTCCACGTAGAGTCTAAGGCCCAGGGTGGAGGCCTGACCTTCGGTGAGCCTGACCCTCCAGCGCTCCTGGAGAGCCTTCCACGGAGAAGGGGGCTCTCTCCTCTTCACTCCAGCATCCTGGATCGACGGCCTGCCTAAGCTGCGTGTTTCTCTCTGGCTTGGAGGGCTGGCCTCTACTCCAACCCAGGCTCACTGGCTGGCAGAACTCAAAGACTTCTACCTTCCCAGGTGGCTTGGGATCCCCACCAACCTGGGCCTAGAGGGGCTGCAGCCCCTACCACCTAATAGAAGGAGGGATTTCTGAACTGAAAACAATATTTTTGGAGGCTGGTGGTGCAGGCCCCAGGAAGGTGCATCTTGGAATGCACCTCACCCGCAAGAGGCTGGATAGAACATGGGGCAGCCCTTGGGTTTGGGTAAAAGGGTGGGGGGGGGGTGGAGAGAGCCACAAAGCAAGGCCATGAAAACCCTATAAGGATGAAGCCCAGCCACAGCCCCTGTGCAGAGCTGGAGTCAGTCGGCAGCCTGAGGTGGGGGGCAGGTTTTTCTGCGTGAGGGCAAAGCGGAGGCCCACACCTGTCTGGTGTGTGTGTGTGTGTGTGTGTGTATGTGTGTGTGTGTGCAGGGGCCTTGCTCTGGGAAGGCTGGAGCAGGGAGGGCGGGCAGCACCCAAGACCTCTGTTGGCCCCCCATTACAGTCTGGCGCCTAGACAACCCCAGCAAGCTACCTCTCCTCGAGCCTGAAGAGTTTTCCGGAAGGGTGTTCTGGATCCCACACCCTCACGCAAACCGTGTCCCGCATAAAAAAGAGGAAAATTTGACATGAACAAAAGCACACAGCAGGTAAAACCAGAGAGGGTCCAGAGGGACCCCAGGGCAGGGAGGGAGGTCGCTGGGGACTCAGGGGACAGGTCCGAAGAACGGGGACCCTCCACTGATAAAGCTAGTGGTGGTTCAGCCTCGATCTCAGGACTTCGCTCTTGTCCGCCTCCTCTCAAATCCACATTTTCCAGGTCTCACGGCAACCTAGCCTCAGAACAGGCATTTCTTCATCCTTAAGAGAAATGACATGGGCTTCCAAGGAAAGATTTAAAGGACGCCAGATTTCTTTTTATCATTAATTGTAAACGTGCAAAATACCTGCTGGTACTTCACTTTAGAAGAATGTAATTGGCAAAAAAGAATGGAAAAAGAGGAAAAAAGAGACGGCTGATGAATAGATAATAGATCTTTAACCACCAATAAACAGAGAGCAGCGCCAGCAGCCTGGGGGACGTGATCATAATTATGCCGCCGCGTGAGCCAATGGGGACGAGGGAACTCGGCCCTAAAATCATCCCAAAACCGAAGGCGAGCTAGAAAATGCGGACACGGCCTGGAACCGGAGACGCGATCTGCAATCCCTAGATGTGAGCCCTAGGTTTGCACAGCAACCCGCCCCTGGGACGACAGATGGCAAAATAATAATAGAAATAATAATAACAGCAATAATAATAATAATAACAACGATAATAACACCGAGCCAACAATAATAGTAGCACCACACAAACTCTCCCTTGACCGTGAAACCTCGGTCCCAGATATTGCAGAAGGAATGCTTTCGGGAAGGAGGGGAGCACTCCCCCGCAGACAGCCCACGGGGGGAGTCGGAAGCCCACTCCCCCCGCAGAGTCTGGGGCTCGGGGCTTAACCTGCAACGGAACAAGCCCGGTCAAGGATCGCGAAAGCCGCGACCCTGGGACCTCGAGGCTACGCGCGGTGGGAGGACCTCCAATCCCAGGTTCCCTCCTCACTTCGGGAGACGCCCGGGGATGTCGCCGCGGGTGCGGACTGGACCGGCCGAACGGTTTCGTTAGCCCTCGCCCGGACCCAGCCCCTGCTCGCTTACCCTCGCGGTGCTCCCCGGGCGATTCCCAACTTCCCCGACGCGGGGCCGCGGGGCGCAACGGCAGCATCCGGAACGCTGCGAGCGAGCCAGCCGCGCGCTTGCCTGTCCGTCGGTCCGTCCTACCAGCTCGGGCTCAGCAGGCTCGGGATCCAGGGGGGACGCAGCGGAGGCTGAGCCGGCCGGGGACTCTGCAGGGACCAGGGTGCCCGGAGGGAGTGTTGCTGGTGGAGGAGGAGGAGGCGGTGGCTGACAGGGGAGGAGGTGGGGAAAGAGGAGGAGGAAGAAGAGGAGGAGGAGGAGAAGGAAGAGGAGAAGGAGGAGGAGGAGGAAGAGAAGAAGCCGAGGGAAGAGGAGGAGGCGAAGGAGGAGGAGGCGAAGCCGCAGCGGGCGCCGCGGGAGCGAGTGAGCCGGGAGCGCGGGGCGAGGGCGCGGCGCGGCGGCCGGGCGGGCGGGCGCAGGAGGCATGGCTGAGGCGGCGGCGCCGACTCCGTTCCACTCTCGGCCGGGATCCAGGCCTCCGGGTTCCCAGGCGCTCGCCTCCCTCTGACGCACTTTAAAGAGTCTCCCCCCTTCCACCTCAGGGCGAGTAATAGCGACCAATCATCAAGCCATTTACCAGGCTTCGGAGGAAGCTGTTTATGTGATCCCCGCACTAATTAGGCTCATGAACTAACAAATCGTTTGCACAACTTGTGAAGAAGCGAACACTTCCATGGATTGTCCTTGGACTTAGGGCGCCCTGCCCGCCTTCTGCAGAGGAGAGAAAACTTTTTTTGCCTCCCCCAAGAAACTCCCCCCTCCTCCCTGTCTCTAACTCCGACCCCCCCCCACGCCATCTCGCCAAAAAAAAAAAAAAAAAAAATTACCCCAATCCACGCCTGCAAATTCTTCTGGAAGGATTTTTCCCCCTCTCTCCAGGTTGGGCGCGTTTGGTGCAAGATTCTCGGGATCCTCGGCTTTGCCTCTCCCTCCCCCACCCCCTCCTTTCCTTTTTCCTTTCCTTTCTTTCTTCCTTTCCTCCCCCCACCCCCACCCCAAACAAACAAGTCCCCAATTCTGGTCCGTCCTCGCCGCGGGCAGCGAGCGGCGGAGGCAGCGCGCCGCGGTCGCCGGGAGCCGGGAGCCCCGGGCGCCAGCTCCTCGGCGCAGCATGTTCCAGCCGGCGCCCAAGCGCTGTTTCACCATCGAGTCGCTGGTGGCCAAGGACAGTCCCCTGCCCGCCTCGCGCTCTGAGGACCCCATTCGTCCCGCGGCGCTCAGCTACGCTAACTCCAGCCCCATAAACCCGTTCCTCAACGGCTTCCACTCGGCGGCCGCCGCCGCCGCGGCCGGCAGGGGCGTCTACTCCAACCCGGACTTGGTGTTCGCCGAGGCGGTCTCTCACCCGCCCAACCCCGCGGTGCCCGTGCACCCGGTGCCGCCACCGCACGCCCTGGCCGCCCACCCCCTGCCCTCCTCGCACTCGCCACACCCCCTCTTCGCCTCGCAGCAGCGGGACCCGTCTACCTTCTACCCCTGGCTCATCCATCGTTACCGATATCTGGGCCATCGCTTCCAAGGTACGTGCCACGTCGCGGGGCTGGCAGCACGCCGCATCCCGCGTGCCCTGGGCCTGCTCGGGGTGGGCGCTTGGCAAGCCTGGCCGGAGGTTCCTCCCGCTGGCAGGCCGCGCACTCTATTCGTAAATCGGGCGGCAAGGGGCCGGGCGTGCTGTTGGTCCCCAGCTTCCGAAGCTGCGGCCAGTTTGGGGGCTGGCCTGCGGCGGAAAGTTGTCCCCGAGTGCTCTCGGGTTGCGGACAGGGCAGCGTAGGAGTCCCGGAGCCCGCGGGGTCCCCAGTCTCTACCTCTTCTCCGCGGCGCCCTGGGCGCCTTGGCTCCGAGGGTAGAAGACCCGGCCCAGCCGCCAAGTTTACCTTCAGCTGCGTTCGACACCGTTCGCCGCCCACTCCGCGCCCCTTTAGCGGAGACCCGTGACTTCTCCGGGTACGACATTCTTCCCGCGGCGATAGTCTCGCGCGCCCGGGGCAAAACCGGGGGGGTTGGTTTTTTTCCCCCTGATTTTTGGAGGCTCGGGAGAGGCGGGAACCCACGCGGGTTGAAACCTCGGAGGCTCGGCAAACTCGATTTGGGGCGCGCAGCGGCAGAGCCGGGAAGACAGGTTCAGTCTGGTTTGGTTTTGTATTTATTTTTCTTTTGAGAGAAATGAACCGAATCGGGAGAAAGGCTGGAGAAGATTCTGTTTGGGTATTTTCCTTTCTTCTATTTTTTTGGTTTGTTTGTTTTTTCTCTGTGTGGGGGTGGGAAGAAAGTTAAAACTCCAGAAAAAGAGGCGAGTAATTAATTGAGCGATCGGAGCCGGGAGAAGACTTACCTCCCGCGGCAGCCGATCAATACTCAGCGGCTTGGCCATTCATTAACCCTTTGCGTTCCCTCTAGAGCCTAGAATCGGGTAGATGCCAACCCGCCTCTAATTTGAAAAACAAACAAAAAAGCAAAACAAAACAAAAACTAACGTTCGTCTGTATTCCCTGAGCAGATTTGCCTCCATTCCCGCCTGAACTGTAGGTTAGTTTTTCTTTGTTTGGGCTTTGAGTGAATCTGTTTCCCAACCTGATGAGTGTACCCGGAACTCTCTGGCTTTGCTCGCAAAGTTTCGGGCTCTCTTTCCTTATTCTCTGCTAGCCACGCTCTTGTTCCCCTCACCAGGCCCGGAGCAGTCCGGGTCTTCCCAGGCCGCGGGTAGCCGGAGCAGGCGCCGGTAGCTCGGTAACCTACGGGTTTCGATCCCTTCGCTCGCGCCTCCCAGTTCTCTGGAGCCGGACGGCGGGGGAACCGGGTCCGCGTGAGGCAGAGGCAGCAGAAGCCAGGCACGCCCGCCGGCAAGGTTTAGGTCCCAGCCAGGCTGCGGAGACACTCCCGTCCCCTGCAGTTTCCAGAGGGGAAACGCTTGAATACGTAATTTAAAAATAAGTCCTCGAGAAAACCCTGGATGTCGGTGCGCCGCCTTTCCACCCCGATCAAAGTGTCCCGAGAGGTCCAAAAGAGAAAGCCATTTCTGCGGGTCGTGGGCCCCAATTCCCGGGCCTGTCCCTGCCTCGCCCTTCTCTGCCCAGGGAGCCCCGCATGGAGGTGGGGAGGCCTGCGCACTAGGGCGGCTGACAAGTCCGCGGGGGTCAGGAGCCTGGGGACCGGCCCCGCAGCGGCGGGTTCGGGTTCTGGTCTGCACAGCTAGCGCCCCGCGGTCCGGGCTGGGCGGCTGGCCCGGTATCCTCTTCGAGCGACTCCGGTGGGTCCCCGGCCCCACAGGCCGAGGCAGAGAGGCTAAGCAAAGGCCCTGAGCACGATGTCCCGCCAGCCCGGCTCCTAAGAAGCGCGCGGCCCCCGCCAGGGCTGTCCCCTCTAACGGGACTTCTGCTGTGTCCCCCGCAGGGAATGACACAAGCCCCGAGAGCTTCCTTTTGCACAACGCGCTGGCCCGAAAGCCGAAGCGGATCCGAACCGCCTTTTCCCCGTCCCAGCTTCTGAGGCTGGAACACGCCTTCGAGAAAAACCACTACGTAGTGGGCGCCGAGAGAAAGCAGCTGGCTCACAGCCTCAGCCTCACGGAAACTCAGGTGAGCCGGGCCCAGGCGCAGCGACCCCATCCCAAACTTCTGGACCCAAGCAGCGGGCCTGCGAGTGCGGAGCTCTGAGAGGGCCTTCGGCGGCAAAGGGCCCGGGAGCTGGTTCCACGCCCCCTCGCTCAGGATGTGTGTTTCGAGGCTCCAGGCTCACTTGGTCTCCAGAAGGAACCGCAGGAGGCTGTCCGCCCCAGGCTTTGGGTGGGGGCGAGGGGACGGGCTGGGTCCTTCCTTCCGTCGGCCGGGCATGCCTTGCAGCTCCTGGCTAAGTCACGTTTGCACTTTTGGTGAAACTTTTGGTGAGAGTGTAGGGACTCGGCTGGAGTCCAGGAAGAGGAGGAGAGCAGTGGGGTGTTGGCATGTCGGGTGTCTAAGCTGGAGAAGTCCGCGAATTAGTTAAAGGCAAGTTTTGTGCGACCACAGGCCCATGCTCACACCACTTACTCCTTCGGAAGGGGTCTCGGAGTCAGAAGGCGGAAGCCATGAGTCCTGGGTGCGTCCCTAAATCAGAGAAACGGAGTTGGAAGGTCACTAAGTAGGGCTGCTTCTGGGAACAGACCCTTCCTTCGCCCTGAATTCCTGAGGCGGGCCTGGCTCTCGCCTGCCCCGGGGCCTGGAGGGGGTTTAGGGCTACAGTAGGCGCTACTGTATGCGGAGCGGCAGGGCGGGGTCAGAGTTCCCAGCAAACAGTAACGTTTTCGTGAAGATTAAGTTGTAACACTTTTTCTGGGAGGCGCAGAGAGGTCGAGGCTTTGTTTTAAAAGGTCCCCCCCGACAAAACCGAGGAGGGCCCCGCGGGTTGGTGCGCGGCCGGCACAAGGCACGGCCCCGGCTGATTTCTCTCGGAGAGTCGAGGCGGCGGTGGTCTTTGTCCGCCTCGCTGCCCACGCTGCCTGCCGTCTTTGTGTGCGTGTCAAGCCCCCAGCGCAGGGACGCGCGCCTTGGGCGAGCGCCGGGGAGAAATGAACCGTCCTCCCCCTCAATTAGCAAACTCAAAGCAAATTAAACTCAGCCTTGTTCCAGCTCTGCTTTTTCATGGGGCACTTGGGGGGATTGGGCGTGCGGGGAGAGCAATCTGGGACCTGGGCTGGACTCTCACAGGAGGGAGTGGAGGGGACCTCCGCGGCCTGTGGTGGTGCTGTCAGGATAGAACAGGTCTGCGGGCGCGAGAGGTGCAGCCACCACCGTTTAATTCCCTCACCTGCACCTCGCTGGTGGAAAGCTTGGACAGTGCCACTGTCTGGTCTGCTCAGGGGCTGGGGACCCTCCACCCAGCTTCCCCAGAGGGCCGTGGGGATTGCAGCTGACTGAGCCCCTTGCCTCATTGATCCCCAGACCTCTAGCAACCGCTCTGCAGGGGCCAGGCTGCCAGAAGGAGCCCTGGTAGGAAGTGATGTGGCCAGGGTAGGAGCTTGGCCCTGTCCCGCCCTGCAGCTGGTCAGTGGGGAGCAAGGAGTCTCTTCCTCTATTTTCTCCCTTTCCTCAGTTCCTTTCTCCCCCCCCCCCCAGAGGTCTTTCAGAAGCTTTCACTTTTGAGCCTCTTTTCCTAACTGCAGTGGAAGAGCGGGGTTGGTCCCTAGGCTTCCTCCGACACCCCCTACCAACCACTCTTGCTCACCTGCAAGAGTCCTGGGCAAGGAGAAGGAAGCTCCTGCAAATCCGGACTGCCTGCCCAGGGCCCAGGCCTCGGAGAGGAGGCGCTATATTTAGGCAGTGCTGCTGAAACCGACAGAAAATAGAAAGCACATTGGGCCCGGCAGGAAGCAGCAGCAGCTGCGGCGAGGTCTTCGCTGCACTGGCTAAGTCGAGGAGGAGTCGGGGACATGCCTCTTTTTATTTTTCTTTACTTATTATTTTTGTAGGGGTGTTTCTCATGCTTTGCAAGGCTTTTGTTCTCAGTGGAATGTGGGTGTCCCGTGCAGGGCCAGGTGAGAAGGGCTGCCTGTGTACTCTGGGCCCTGGCCGGGGAAAGTGACTCGGGAGGGCCAGGGCAGGGAGCCAGGCTTCCCACCCGCCCTGCTCCCTGCAGGGAGGCCACGCAGAGGCCGGCCTGAGGACAGGCGCTGGGGGACCGGACCTTCCGTTTCAGACGGAGTCTGAGCCGGGCAAAGGCAGAAGAGACAGGAGGGCGCTGTGGAGGAACTAACGCGCCCCTTCTGCCTTTGGCCCGCAGGTAAAAGTATGGTTTCAGAACCGAAGGACCAAGTTCAAAAGACAGAAGCTGGAGGAAGAAGGTTCAGATTCCCAACAAAAGAAAAAAGGGACGCATCATATTAACCGGTGGAGAATCGCCACCAAGCAGGCGAGTCCCGAGGAAATAGATGTAACCTCAGACGATTAAAAACACAAACCGAACCCCACAGAAACGGACTACACGGAGCAAAACAGACAGGGAGAGGAGGGGGAGAAGGGAAAAAAACCCCTGCAAAACAAAAACAAACCGCACACACACATTCACCGAGAATGGGAGAGGGAATCAGAGAGACGGCAGCGGAGCGACGCAGACTTTGGGCAGCGAGCGCGCAGGGTCCGGATGGAGATCGGAGGGCGCGCCAGGACAGCAGAGGACACGGGCTCCTTGATCGACATGCAACCCTTGTCTAAAGAGGCAGTTGAGTGAGACAGAGAGACAGACAGACAGACAGACAGACAGACAGAGAGGGAGAGGAAGGAGATCCAAAAGTGGCCAAGCGGAAGGCACTCTGACAAGGGGAGCTGTCAGTCAGACGCCAAGCCAGCGCGACAAGATGATTGGCAGGTATTCCGTTTATCGCAGTCCGATTTTTTTTTTAAAAAAAACGATGATAATGATGATGACAAAAGAAAAACCCAAACAGACACGGGACTTTATATTTTGCACTTCGCAGTGTTGTTCCCCAATCTTAAAAAAATAATTAGTATAATAACGATCGAAATTTCATATCCAGCCCCATCGCACACCTGTTCAAAACCTCGAATTGCATGTAGCAGTTGTTGGGCGAATGGTGTCTAAAGACAGAAAAATGAATCGTATTCTCTTTTCCTTTTAAAGACAGGTTCTGTGTGCTTTTCATTTGGATTTTTTTCGAGAAATGTGCAGTCTGTAAACACTTTTTGATACCTTCTGACGTCAAAGTGATCGTGAAAGCGAAATGAAGTAGACACAGCGATAGTGGTCCTCTTACAGAGAAATGGGGACCAGATGGGGGGCTGGGGGAGGCTGGGGAGGGGGCCCACCAGAGTCAGTAATTGTGTTGGAGAAAAAAAACCCACCCAAATTAATTGTATTTCTTGGACATTCCCTTTCCTAACATCCCAAGGCTTAAAACCATGAAGCAAACTCCTTTTAGTGGTTGGAGATATTGGCCGAGTTCAACCATTTACTGTGAAGGCCATTCCAAACTTTCAATCTGTCTATTGCAAAAACGGAAGGACTGTAGTAAGCGGGAATGACGTTAAGTGTGGCCAAAGACATGGCGGCAAGTTTTCAAGCACTGAGTTTCTATTCCAAGATCATAGACTTACTAAAGAGAGTGACAAATGCTTCCTTAATGTCTTCTATACCAGAATGTAAATATTTTTGTGTTTTGTGTTAATTTGTTAGAATTCTAACACACTATATACTTCCAAGAAGTATGTCAATGTCAATATTTTGTCAATAAAGATTTATCAATATGCCCTCAGAGTAGTCGTCTTGGGAAACTGAAGGAAACTTTTTTTTTCTTAAAAAAGTATGTCCAGTGATTTGAGTGTGGTCCTTCCCCAATGAGGCACAAGAAACCCAGCTTCCCCACCCACAAAAGGGCCAGACTGATGGATTTTGGGGCATTTTAAAGAGAGATGAGGGTGGAAAGGGGAGAGGATTAAGAAAACCTAAGTCCTTCAGAAAAGGGATGGGAGAAAAGTTTTTCCAACCAGATCTATGCCCATTGCAAGGCCGACTGAGGGAGCTCAGTTTCAATTGCAGGTTAAAAAGACCTGCTTCTTTTAACCTCTAGTTATCTTTTTAAAAATCTAGATATATAGTTATGTATTGAAGGAAATTCTTCCAGGATTGGGAGTAGCACCTGGAAGAATCAGAATGTGGGGATTTTTAAACTGTTTCTGACTTTAAACCCCAAAGCACAAGTCTCTCTCTCTCTCTATCTCCGTATATCTCTCCGTCTCCTTTCTTTCCTCTCTCTGTCCCCAATCTGCCCAAGGTGGTGAGGCAGGCCCGAGGGCCTCAGCAGCCTTATAAGGCAAGCTTTCTGAGAAACGTCCAACTCTTGATTTTCACATTAAAGAAAAAGTTGCAACCAGTCTTGGAGGAAACTTTGCTCCCCCCCTTCTTCCCCCTTCTGGGGGGACGAGGTTGTTTTTGCATGCTTCATTTGCTTCTTATCCTGATAGGCTGCATTAATCAGTTTTATTTCCATTGATAGAGAAACCTCGTCTGTTCTGTTCGAGCTACAAAGCGTCCTGCGAGCTTTTGTGAAAGTGCAAATCAGTTTAAGCAATTATCATACCAGGAATATGAAGGGGGAAGAGGAGGCCTTGCCCAGTGGTCTCCTTTAATCTCTTAATCCATGGATCCAGGGGGGCTGCCTGGACATAATTTAGGACAATCTCCCCACCCTTTACACTGTGATAAGGCCAAGTTACAATGCAGGGCAAAAATACAAGCTTTGTTAACATCCTGCCTTGAAAAGTTAAGATTAGACATTCTGTGCACGTGTGGGGACTAGAGGGCACTATGGAAATTTTCCTTTCTTTTTTTCCTCATTCCCTTCCCTCTTCTAAAGTGGAATTCATTCTTGGTCTTTCTCCCTCTTTTATTATTATTTTTTTGACGATATCTCTGCCTCTCTCTTCTCTTTTTTCCCCTCTGTGTCTGTTCCTCTCGAGAACCCTGGCTGTTCGAGGTGCGTTTTCACGCAGACTCCTCTGGGAAGGTGTGTGTCTTGTGGGGAGACTTGAATGCAGGAGGTCGCTGGGGGTGAACAGGGACCTGCCTCAGGAGACCCTGCTTGTCCCTCCCTGGAAGGAACTGGTGCTGCTCCGACCATCCTGGAAACTCAAGTGGGGTTTCCAGCCGCATTGTCATCAAGACCTCGGTGACCGATGGCTGTCCCGAGGGCTCTGCAGTCAGTGCTACAGCACCGCACCCCTTTGTCTGAATAAGTTACCTTTTCCTTCCACCCACTTTTCGGAGCCCAGAGTACCGCAAACATGGAGCACACACAGGTCTGCTAAAATTCAGACGGACTTTTCAGAAGAAAATTTCTCAGTTGGATAACAGGTTTATTTCTGCAGAACCATATACTTTTTTAAGGAAAGGAAAAGGGGGAGAGTGACAAAGATTTTTTTTTTTTTGGTAAACGTCCTATGTAGTGTAACAGCAATAAAATCATCAGAGAATACCATTAGCTTTGAAAAAAACCCTAAAAGCTTTATTACAAACCAAGCTTTGAAAATAGGGGGGATTAGGCGGCTGAAAGGGTCCCACAATGGTAAGAAGAAAAGGTTTCATGCTAATGAGGTTAATGCCCTTTGTATCTCAGGCCTCCACATCTTCATTACCCGCTATCTCCGGCTGCACGGAGCGGCTCAGAGGGCCGCCATCCACTCCAACGCCCCCCTTCCCGGCCCAAAGAAGGATTTGATAGCAGCTCTGTTCAAACTAGATAATTATATCTTTTCAAGTCGGAATTAAGATAAAGAAAGTGAAGCGGAGGCGGCTCGCCTTGATCCACTGCAAACAAATTTGGCGCACTTTCGAGTCCTTCCCCCACCTCAAAAAGGCAGGACAGTCAGCTTATTAGCCGCTCGTTTGCTTTATTAATTCATCTATTTAAAGTGGCAGGATTAGAGCGTCTAATGTGGACGCGGGCTGCAGTGACGCCGAGGAATATAAATATTTGCGAGATGCCATCCCACGATGGCTATCCGGGGCTCTGGGCGCGGGGCAGGATGCGGGGCGCACTCGCGAGCCTTCTGACTGGGTCCCCTTGGCAAGTGCCCCAAACACGGGCTGGGCTGCAGCCTTTGGGACCCGGGGTGCGTGAAAGCTCTGTGCCCCAGGTCTGGGTCCTCTCTCGTGTTTCATGAGTGTCAGGCCCGGACGCCCCTGGCAGGGCTCTGTGGGCATCGGCGGTCAGGTTCTGTGTTTCTCCCTGAACATGTCGGACCGTATGCATGTTGCCTCGTGTCCTGCCTGTTACCCTGAACTGGGATGCATCTTACACATTTGATTCCCATCCTGCCCCCTTGTTAATTGCTTGTGGGCCTTCCCTGTGCGTTCCCCAGTGCCTAGTGGATTTGGGGAGAGGAGAGGTGTGGGCTCTCGGTTTGCATTTCCCTGCAAGAGTCAGACCGAGTGTATACGGCCTGTGTGCCCGGCTACATTCTCCTTCCGGTGAGGTACACGTGAGTTCAGCCAGCGTTTGGAGTTTGGGATCCTGTTCCTCCCCGCGGCCAGGAACCTGAGAGTCAGGGGCGGGGGTTCAAGGCAGCAGCAACTCCCGCGGTGGGAGAAACCTTGGATCCCCATCTCCGGGCAGTTACCCTTTTCTGCTTCTCTTCTGGATGTCCGGTGCCCCCAGCTCCCTCCGACACTGTTCCTGGCAGACGAGCCGAGCCGAAGCGGGAGCGTTGGCGACAGCCGGGAACCTGCCGAGCCACTTTTGTGCTGGGGGCGGATCGTGGTAGGCAGAGAGCCGGGCCAAGCGGGCCAGGCAGAAAGGGGGCTCGGGCCTGCGCGCGGCCTTGGGAACCTCGGCTCCTCCCCGTCCCCGCCTCGAGTAGCAGGAAAACAAAGTCTCGGGCTCTCGGGCGGCGTGGGGAGGGAGTCTGGCAGCCGGGAGGCCTGGCCCGGGGCCCCGCTGCGCAGTGGAGGCGTCTGGGCTGCGCTGCCGGCGTGCGCGCGTGCAGTTGCCAGTCGAAATCAGGGAGTGGGTGTGAGTGAGGGTGAAAGGCTGTCCTTGTGTGTTCGCACAGGTCGAGGGTCCGAGTCAGGTCTGTGAAAAAGCTGTTTGTGCGGAGAGGTAATGATGTGTCCGGGCCAGGACTTAAGTCAGGACGTGGAGGTGCTGACTGTGCGTGCCACCTGCGTGAGTTTGAGGGTGGAGAGACCAGCGCTTCGGGTGTCGATTGTGCCCGTCGGGCCTCCCGGCTCTCCCAGCGCATCTGCGTTGCGTTGATTTAGGACGAGGACGTGCAGCTGATTGTGCCGCTGTCCTCACAGCGCCTAAAAGGGGGTAGAAATGCACCGTTGTAAAGAATTGGTAGCGCAGTGCGCTCCGTGAGCCTGGCTGTAGTTGTAGATCTCAGACGGTGGGACTGGCGTGTGTGTGTGTGTGTGTGTCACTAGCGATGACATTTCTCTGTGTTTGGGTGGGGGTCCCGGCGTGATGGCGCCCATGCCCGCGCCCCGGCAGCATTTGGATGCTTCAGGAGCTAAGCGCGTGCGTGTGTCTAGTGAGGAGGCCTGGGTTCTGGTATTGTTCCCACGGCAGAGCACCCTGGCTCCGAAGTTTGGCAAAGAAAGGTAGTTTTTCGTGACTACATTTTTCTAGGCCGTCATTTATTATTCCGGCGATCAGCGTTTGATTTACTTGTTGCCTCTTCAGAGCGGTGGCGGGCCCGGCGGAAGGAGAGACGGGCCTAAAGGGCTGGGCCGCGGGACCGGGAGGCTGAACTGCGGGCCACAGGCGCGCCCCGTCCGCGGCTCGGCTCCCGCGCCGTCCAATTTACTTCCCCCAACCAGCCCCGTAGCTTGGGGGAAGTGGGAGTTTTGAGAACTCGCTGACCCCAGCCGTGACCCCGCTCGGGGAGGCTGCTTCTCCCGGCGAGACCCTGTACACCAGGAAACCCGAAGCGAAGCGATGCCACACTTGAAAGCGAAAGGTCCATTCATCAGCCGCGCCCCAGCGTCTAATTGGCCTTTTGTTCATTAGTGCCTGTTGCCCGACGTGGAACGGGGACTTGGGAGGGGGGGCCCGGGGGGCTGCAAGTAGGAATGCCAGGCGCCATGGGCTGGGGTCCGGGTAGGGCAAAGGCGCATCGCACTCTTCAGAGGGGGCGCCAGAGCGCGCCAAAGATCGCACCCACGTGCAAGGGTGCTGGGCGGGAGGCTGGTCTCCAAGTGCCTGGGCCGGGTCCCTGTAACCGCGGAGGCTCACGGCCGGCCTCCTCTTTGCCCCCATCGCCGCCTGCAGCCTGAGCCCACTTCTTTCCTCCGCACCCTGGGGATTTCATATCTGCCTTCTGGCCTCTCCCAAGTTCCCAGCTCAGGCACTCGCCTTGGGGCTGGGTCGGGCTCACGTCCCACCTTTCTTCCTGCTTCGAGTTCAGTCGTCCTTGTCCCTCCATCAACCCCGCAGAGACTCTGACCTCCTCCTCCCTAGGCATTAACCAGGCACTGCCGTTAGGCCAGCACCCCGCTTCGCTGCGTGGGGGGACTGGGAGAATTTCGTTGGGAGTTGCCCGACTCCTCCGGGATCGGATGGGGGAGCAAGCCCAGGTCTCCACCACTGTAATTTCCGTCTTTCCGTCCAAGTCAAACCTCACCTTCCTGCTCCCCTGCTCCCTCTCTATCCCACAGCTACTGACCCGCCACACAGGGTCGGAGAAGCTGGATAGCGCAGGGTTTTCTCCCAGAGGCCAAGATGCACCTGAAGGGCCTGGGGGTGCCTGGGATGAGGAGAGGG